CTAAGGCTCTTTGATGTGACAAGAGTTTGAATTATAAGCTGTGTGAAAGCCAAAACTGCAGTTTGTGGAAGAATGGGAGCAATGAGCTTCTAAAGTTAGCTTGTGTTCGTCCCGGTCTCAGAGTTTTTATGTTTTGAGCTCACAGGAGCTTAATCTGGTTAGTGCTGAGTAGAAAAGGGGAGGAAATGGGGTCAAATAGCTCCTGAATGCATCCTAGTGGTCTCGGGGTCAACGGCCCTTCCTGATCCCTAACGCTCAGTGTGCCTCCATGGCTGGCTCCCAACAGTCATGCTGCAATCTCATGCCATACTTTTGAAAAGAAATTTAGAGAGTGTAAAACATCACCATATACTGTAGAATTGTTGAGATGTATTCAAACATGAACATCTATTTGAAAATATATGCATTCACTCTTCCCTTTCCCCTAAACTCAACACTCTTCCCCTTAGTTATTTGCGTAACTCACTCCCTCACTTCACAAAAGACACATGTTCAAATAGCACCTCACTGTGACTTTGACCTCTCTACTTAAAATGACATCTCCAGTTGTATAGATTTTTTTTTAGCAGTTATCATTATTGGGAAATAACCACATGTTTATTTATTTTTGTATCTTTCTTTAAGTATAAATTGGATAGATAAAGGGTTATTATTTCTTCTTTCAACAATGCCTAAGGTAGTACCAGCATCAGAGTAAGCCTGTCCCAAGCATTTGTTGAACTAATGAATAAATAAGTAATTGAGTAATTATATACCCTCATCATATACTTAACTTTCTTTTTTTGGTTTCCATACCAGAAAACAATACTCACAAAACAGTAATTACTTTAATTCTGACTAGTGAATGCATACTCTTCAAATAACCTATGTTCATTAATGTGGCTTATTCCTAGAGAAGGATTATTTATCTTTTGTGAAAAAAGTTTTTTTTTTTTTTTTTGAGTTGGAGTCTCACTCTGTAGAGCAGTGGCCGCTCCCGGCCACCGCAGCCTAGACCTGCTGGACTCTGGTGATCCTTTTGCCTCAGCCTTCCAAGTAACTGGAACTACAGGTGCACGCTACCACACTCGGCTAATTTTTTATTTATTTATTTATTGTAGAGATGAGGTCTCGCCTGCCCAGGCGGGTCTCGAACCTGTGGGCTCAGACAATCCACTCACCTCAGCCTCCCAAAGAAGCGGGATTACAGGCTGAGTCACCGAACCTGGCTTGTGATCTAATTTTTCATAGTGCTGGTATATTTGTCTCTTTTTCCAATTAAATGGAAATCACACTTACTATTCAATGAATATTCATTGTATATTTACTGTGTGCTAATTATTGACCTAAGATCTTTTGACATATCAATGAGCAACAAAAATTCATGGTTTCCTGGAACTTTTATTCTAGCAGAAGAAAGCAAACAATATAGTAAGTCTTCAATGTCATAGGCTTTTGGGAACTATAACTGTTAGTGAAACCATGTACCGGAGGTCCTCGGATAATGTTATGTCATTTTTCATTGTTTTCTTATGACATTGATATGAAAAAAATACCTTCATTATTCTGTTTCACTTAAATTTGCATTTTCCAAAAACCTATCAATGGCATTGAGGATTTACCACACAATAAATACAATTAAAAAGGATTTTATATGTTTTAACAATGTTAAGTACTTTAAAGTTGAGTAGTAAGGTAGACCCTGAAGTATAATAATGTGCTCATGGAAGGTTTCATGAAAGGTTTTGCATCTGAGCAAAAATTTAAGGAAAATAATTCCAGCCAGAGGAAACACTGGCAGCAAAGTCAGAAAGAAGTGTGCTAATTTTTAAAAAAAACAGCACAGAGTTCAGAAATCTGAGCAAATGGTGCTAGGAAAACTGGCTGACCACATGCAGAAGAATGAAACAGGACCCCTGCTTATCACCATACACAAAAACCAATTCTAAATGAATCAAAGACCTAACCATAAAGCCTCACATTATAAGAATCTTAGAAGAAATTGCAGGAGACACCCTTATGCACATTGAAATTGGAAACCAATTCTTGGTAATAATTCCAAAAGTGTATGCTACAAAAGATAATATAGACAAATAGGACCTCATCAAATGGAAGAGTTTTTAATTAGGATCATGGATAAATCAGACACTCTAGCACAAATCTCTGCAAGAAGCTCTTTAAACCATGTACAGAAAGTCCTCGGATAATGTTATTTCATTTTACATTGTTGTTATAACATTGATAAGAAAAAAAAACTTCATTATACTGCTTAATTTAAATTTCCATTTTCCAAAAAACTATCAATGACATTAAATGAGGACTTATTACACAAAATAAACCATCACAGCAAAGGAAACTATCAAAAGAGCAAGGACACGACCCACAGAATGGGAAAAAATATTTTCTAACTGTATATCTGACAAATGCCTAACATCCAGGATATAAAATATAAATTTACAAAATGACCTTTAAATATAAGTTCTTTTAAATTCAGTTCCCACACCTGAGACCCAATCCCTACCACTACACAATATGTTCATATAACAAATAGGCACCTGCCTCCCTGAATCTAAAATTAAAAAAAAAAAAAATTAAGAATAAATAAATAAATAAATGAAATGTCCTCAGTGTTGATATTTTTCCTCCATGTTTTCTTGTAAAGAAGAATTACATTAGATAAAAGTGATTATGTTTAATTGTTTATTTTGGGTTCTCAAAAGAATAGGGCAATAAACTCTGGGGTTCATGTCTCCCAGGTTGTAACTACAAACATAAGAATGCATATCACTCCCAACATAGAGAGGTCCTACCTTTGCCATCATCAGGTTTGTTTCAAGATTCTGAAGAAATATTGATATTCATTTTATTCTAGAAAAAACGTAGGAAGAAGAAAACTTTTGAACTAAACAGTTCTTGGAAAATATAGGTGGACGTGTAGGGAACAGAAATGCCCTCTTCCTGCCAAGCTTTATGCTAGAAGGTCTGGTTTATCCATGCTCCTCATTAAAAACTTCATGACAAAGTGGTACCTGGGGAGGGGGAATAGAATAGCTCTGAGAATTTGGACCTGTGTATTGTCTTTCTTCTGTTAATTTTTGGAGGAAGAGACAAGGTAGAATAGACAAGTATTCTAGTAAAATGAAATAAACGGAGACCAAATACACTCTAAAGTGAAAAAACAAACAGAGAAGTCATGCTTTAATTAAGATTATAAAATAGGAAATATTTATTGGGTTATGTGAACAGAGATAACCTCTTTATGAGAGAAAAAGAAAAGATTTCTGGCATGGTAAGATCTGAGAGGTGCTGGGCACAGAGTAGTGAAATATAATGATTCTTTCATATTAATGTTATTTGTTTTATCATTAAATGTCTTCATAGTGCAGTTCCACCTCAAGTATCTAATTCTTCTTCTTCACAGGTAATGTAGGGACATAATTAATATCCCAGGTGTTTTGAAAGAAGAGAAGATGTATGCGTATATGTGCTTTGAATAGAGATCTATCTATCTATCTATCTATCTATCTATCTATCTATCTATCTATATCTTCTATTCATGTCTGTCTATCTAGCTATTTATCATCTATCTTATCTACCTATTGTCTATCATTTATCTATCCTCTGTATATCTATCTATCAAAAGCTTTGTTGAGAGACACATAGAGAGAGAGACCCTGAGAAAAGGGGAGCTTCTAAGTCAGAGTCTTTACAATAGTTATTCCTAGGTGAGATTTTCCTAAATCCCATTCTCCTGTGTTTCATTTTGGTGCTGTTTTCTTCTATACCTTGGTGGTAAGTAACTGCAAATGAATTATTTTACATAGGTTTAAAGCTTCCAGCTTGTTCACTAATTGAAAGTAAGATTATTAATAAATAAAATATGCTAGTATGCAGATCAAGAACACGGATAAAAATTTGATGCCCATAAATGGATGCATGGCTGGGAGTTCTATGCCTAAATGTGTAGGTTGATCTCTACATGTATATCAATGTGAAAGTCAAGTTTCCTCTGGCTTCTATTTTGTGATTGATAGAATAAAGATCTAAACTAGAATATTTTTATAATCATTTCCAATTTTATTATTTCCCAAGCAATGAGAAAGGATTAGTAATTAGAACTCCTTACGTTGAGAAGCATACTTTTTGGAAAAAAAAATTAATTACATTTAATTACATTTTAATTACATTTTGATAACAAATTTACTGGGTCAGACAGATTAAAGTACTATATGGAACTAACAATGAAGGCACAAATGTTAAATGTTTGGCTTGTTGGTATTGAATATCACTGTGTTAATGTAAAAATTACTTTATTTAGAAATTTCTGATTTTAATGATGATTAAATGGCTTACATAATCATTAATCATATTACAGTAGGTTTATCACTTATTAATTTACAATGTTCATGAAGAGCTGAAATTATTATGAGATTTGATTTCAAGTAAGCATAAATGCTTTGAGCTTGGCAGGGCTCAGTGGCTCAGCCTGCAATCCCAGCGCTTTGGGACGCCGAGGTTCGAGACCCACCCAGGCAACTTGGTGAGACTTCATCTCTACAAAAAAAAAAAGAAAAAAAGCCGGGCTCAGTAGCATGCCTGTAGTTTCAGCTACTTGAAAGGTTGAGGCAGGAGGATTGCTTGAGCCCAGCAGGTCGAGGCTGCGGTGGTTGGGAGTGTGCCACTGCACTCCAGTCTGGGAAACAGAGTGATACTCCAACTCAAAAAAAAAATGCTTGGAGCTCAATTTTCTATACCTGTAAACATTCAAAGTTATAGCTTATAACATAATATTTAACTCAATAAATTTCATTCCTTTGTTAAGAAATTATTTAAAAGATTGCAATGCTTTAAATTCTTAGATATTTAGTATATCCTATATAATATGCACATGGATTCTGGAAGAGATATTTTGCTTCATTCTTCAAGTTTGGGAAGGGTAGTCAACCAAGATCCTTATTTCCTCACTCTCCATAATATTTTTGTTTTCAGAACTAACTTTTAGGTTCTGACAAATGGAGATTATGTTACTTTCAGAAAGAAACAAAAGTGGGACCACGTTTACCCTCTTGGGCTTCTCAGATTACCCAGAACTACAATTCCCACTCTTCTTGATTTTTCTGGCCATCTACAGTATCACTGTGGTAGGAAATATTAGGATGATTGTAATAATAAAAATTAACCCCAAACTGCACACCCCCATGTACTTTTTCCTCAGCCACCTTTCTTTTGTGGATTTCTGCTATTCCTCCACTGTTGCTCCCAAGATGCTGGTGAACCTAGTCATCAAAGACAGAATCATTTCATTTTTAGGTTGTTTAGCACAATTCCTTTTCTTCTGTACCTTTGTAGTCACTGAATCATTTTTATTACCTGTGATGGCCTACGATTGCTTTGTGGCCATTTGCAACCCTCTGCTATACACGATTGCCATGTCCCAGAAACTCTCTGCCCTGCTGGTAATGGGATCTTATGCATGAGGAGTAGCATGTTCCTTATTACTGACATACTCTGCATTTAAGCTATCATTTCATGGATTCAATCAATCACTTCTTCTGTGAGTTCTCTTCACTGCTCTCCCTCTCTTGTTCTAACACTTACATCAATCAGTTGGTTCTTTTCATTTTTGCCACATTTAATGCAATCAGCACACTACTTATCATTCTCATGTCTTATGCATTTATCACTGTTACAATCCTCAAGATGCATTCAACCTGTGGACGCAGCAAAGTCTTCTCTACCTGTGCTTCTCACCTGACTGCCATCACCATCTTCCATGGCACTATCCTCTTCCTTTACTGTGTGCCAAACTCCAGAAACTCGAGGCTCACAGTGAAAATGGCCTCTGTGTTTTACACAGTGGTGATCCCCATGTTGAATCCCCTCATCTACAGTCTGAGAAATAAGGATGTCAAGAATACAGTCAGCAAGATAATGGACACAAAAATCTGTTCCTGTCGAGCATGTTATTTTAGTAAAATTTATCTCTGGCATATAAATAAAATGTCTTCATCAATGTTGGTTTTAAAGACATTAAAAATTAGTAGAGTTAATGCACAATGAAGCAAAAATGGATTTTGGTTTCAAGAGATTAAACATGTCTCTATCTCTTGCTTGTTGGAGAAGAGCAGCAATCTCTCTAAAATTCAACATTTTATCTACAGAATTATTATAGTAAAAGTTAGCTCAAAACCTTATTGTGAAGGTAAATACATTATATAAATATCATGTGAAGCATCTTGTATAACTCAATGAACAACAATTTCACCCTCTTTCTTATAAGACATCTGGAGTAGACTAGTCTTTCAATAAACATATGAATTTCTTTTATAAAAATATAAAAGCAGTTAAGATAAAACAAAGTCCTTGTCTTCAATGGTGCAAAAAATGTTGATAATAGGTCAATGAAGAAGCAGGCATTCTGTAGGGCAGAAAATAAGTTTCAAAGAAAGTTTGAGAGAAGGAAATTTCAAATCCACTTAGGGACTTTAGAATTTTGTCTTCATAAAACAGGTGTTGTTTGACCTTCAAGAAAGTAATGGGCAAAATTTTAGAAGATACATTGCATTGAGAAATAATTTTTATCTAAAACACAGCACAAATGAAATCAAGGTGTAGGAAGGTAATAATGAGTCAAAGATGCAACAAATATTTTATTGAACTAACATGGTATAACTTGTGTTTGTGTTGTAATGTATATACAAGTTAATTGGCATGAATGAAAAATTTGAATAAGATATAGTGTATATCCTGAATGTTTTTAAGAGATTTCCAAGCCGGGCTCGATGGCTCAGTCTGTAATCCCACACCTTGGGAGGCTGAGGTGAGTGGATTGCCTGAGGCTCCGGGTTCAAGATCCGACTGGGCAACTTGGTGAGACCTCATCTCTACAATAAATCAAAAAATTAGCCGGGCATGCTAGTGTGCATCTGTAGTTCCAGCTACTTGGAAGGCTGAGGTGGAAGGATCGCCGGAGCCCAGCAGGTCGAGGTTGCGGTGGCCAGGAGCAGCCACTGCACTCCATTCTAGGTGACAGAGTGAGACTCCAACTCAAAAAAAAAAAAAATGATTTCCAGTGTGACAGTGTGATAAACTATGATAGACTCTACCAGAGTTTGGAAATGATGGATTGTATTTTAGAAAGTCTTATATGCAAAACCAGAGATAATGAGTTCCTGTCCACCTGTGTTATATGTAGTTATTCTGCCTACATGGACATCACAAACATTATCAATCCTTTATAAACTTTTCTTTTTCTGAGCTTGGAAATAACTTCTGAATCCTTCTCAACAAAATTTTCACTTGTCTTTTTTTAAAAGATGCTTGTAGTAGTCTAAAGTGTTGGAAGCTAATTGCCTACATAAACTTATTCAAAATAAAATTAAAATAAGATAATCATTAACACCAAGAGAAATAATTTACCAAGCAAATTATAAAGGCTAGCTATCTCTTACTTTCATAACTCTCTTTTGTTCAAGTAGCATGTACACCCTTCTCCTTCTACTCACTAGGTCTAGATAAAATTTGAAACAAATCATCATTATAGTGGAAGAGGTAAATTTCTAGATTTTTTTTTGGGGGGGGAGAAAGAATAAACTAGGGAATAATTTTATAGGGCTAATAAAGATATTTGGAATGTTCATGTTATTTTGAACTTATGAACATGATTATAATGTTTATTTAATATATTATTTGATAAGGAAGCCATTTAATAACCATTGTATATGGAAATTTAAAAAAAGTAAGAAACAGTATTTCATATATTGATTGCTTAACTTCTATTTCAGTGGGTACTCAAAAATTACCTGTTGCACATATCTGATACTTATATAATTTTTGGTTTTGTTTGAAATCAGTACATATTCATATTGAATTCAATTTTAAATTTCAAACTATTTTGGAATGATAAAGATCTGTGTGTGGACAAGCCAAACTAGTATATTTCATAATGAAGAAAATAGCTTATGTCCTCCTTACATGAGCTGCCATTCAGCAAGCTACCAGACTCATGTATAAAGCCCTCAGAATGATCTGAACTGCAATCTGAGAGAGTACACAAAAGCAAGCCAAGCCAAGATCAGCCATGCCAGAATCAGATCAACAGAGCTAGCCAGATGTCACAAGTAATAAGTGGTTTAAAAAAAAGTTCTGTTTTAAAAAATATTTATTTATTTTTATTTTAGAGCTGTGAGTTACAAGTGAGAATTTATTATATAAGTTTCATGCTGGTGTGGTTTGGGTTGTTTTTATTCAATAGGTTTTAAAGTGACTTGTTGTGCAGTCATTCTGGGACAGCTGCAACAAAGACTTTCCCAAGTCTTCTTATATAACATTTAAGAGTATCTCTTATTGGCTGGGCTCTGTGGCTCAGCCTGTAATCCCAGGACTTTAGGAGGCTGAGGTGATAGGATTGCCTAAGCTCAGGGGTTTGAGACCAGCCTAGGCAACTTGGTGAGTCCTCATCTCTACAATAAATCAAAAAATTAGCTGGGAATGGTAGCACAGTCCTGTAGTTCCAGTTACTTGGAAAACTGAGGTGGAAGGATCACTGGAGCCCAGGAGGTTGATGCCAGAGTGGCTGTGAGTGTGCCACTGCACTCCAGCCTGGGCAACAGAGTGAGACTCCAACTCAAAAAGAAAAAAAAGTATCTGTTATTACTTAACATAGAGGAAATTTGCTTAAAATAATACAGTTTGTTTTAAGCATAAAATTGTTGATTTCATTAAATATTGCTAGTGCAATATTTTGTCAATATGATATTACCTGTGTGATTTAAATGCACTTCATTGAAAGCTTAGTAGTTTACATTTATATTACACAGCTTATGAATAGTGACCATGAATTTAGTTCCATTTAAGACTTTATGTTTAAATAAATGCTTAGAAACACATTCAATGTCTTAACGTCTAAGATAAATAGATAAGCAAAACAATTTTTTTGTAATTGGGTTGCATAGATAACATAAGGCATCACTGTCAGTGATGTTCTTATGAATGTTCTTTTAGCTTTTCTATAATATCATAAGACTCTTTTCTTCAAAAGGGGTGTATTTTGTGACAGTATTTTGGTGGTGCACTAAGAACAAAATGAATTGGTATTAAACAAATGTTTGTATCTTTCTACTATATATCCAGGTATATATAGCATATTACATATACACATATTATATATATACTCATACTCTGTAGCAAAAAGGTAAGGGCTATATTGGCTAGAAATACATGTCAAATGCCATTGTTTTCCATGAAGAAATAAATTGCAAATACCACAAAGGAACAAAAAGTCTTAGTGTTGGTTTGATGTGTCTTGATTAAAAAAAATCTTCAGACTTTATGAATAGCAGCATTTTGAGTTGTCTTTGTGTTTTAGGCTTTGGAAATTTGCTTTTGTTTTCTTCATCAGATAAATTCAAACAGTAAGATGTGAATGGATTAGGCAAATATCTTGCTTTTGAAGAGTGAGAGAAAAGGGGTCGTGAGAATGCCTGGTGGGGAAAGGAAACCTAGAAAGCCTTCTCAAATTAAGAGAGCTCTTAGATAGACCAATTTTAGGAAAACACATATAGATTGTTGAGAATTTGGAAACTAATTACCTGTAATTCATTACATCTATGAAATTCTAGAAATGTTGGTTTCTCTAGGGGCACATAGACTGTGACTTGAACCCTATTATTGAGGTCTGCTTTCCTCTATATAGTTAGGAAAGAGTAGACCTGGGGGAGATACTTGATTCATTCTTGTTTAATGGCTTCGAGCCTTGACTATGGAACTATGGTCTTATTCACAGTCAAATGTGTTGCACAAACCAAAAAGCAGCATATATTTTTTGTACTAAAGATTCTGTGGGGACTTCTGGCAAGATGGCGATGGGGCAGCTTGGTCTGTGACACTCTCCAAAGAAGAAAACACAGAGAGACTCTGGTTCTCTCCCTGGAGGTTGCAGATCCCATCGTCAGCAGCCTGCTCTTCACACGGAGCGTGGCTGTAGACTTCGCTGAGGCACCACCGCGGTCTGGGCAGCTATTCCACATCACATTGCCAGTGCCTGAGGTGAACCGCAGCTGCCACCACCACCGCCACTGCCACCGCCTCTGAGGCAGCCATTACACATCGCACCGCCTGTACCTGAGGCGAGCCACCATTGTTGCTCCTGCCACCACTGAGGCAGCCATTTCACATTGCACCCCCAGTGCCTGAAGCAATCCATGACTTCAGACCTTGAAGCCCCTGCAAGCAAGATCTGCTGAAGTCTACTACCACCCTGACGTCCTGCCAGACCATAGGTCTCCTCCCATGTGCCTTGAGGCAATGTCTCCCTCCCATTAGGGGCCAGTGAGCAGCTGAGATAAAGACCATCTGGAGTGATGGGATAGCACCACCTGCTGGCGATTCAAGGTAACAACACCAAAAGGAAAGAAACGGAAGCCTGACAGACACAGGCCAGATCTGAGTGGTGAACGGGGCAGTGGTGAACTGAGTGATGATCTGAACTGCCCTTCACAGCAGGCCAGGGACAACAAACTCTAACTGGAACAAACTTACCAGCAGTTGGGAGCCGGCCACGGAGGCCCACTGAGCGTTAGGGATCAGGAAGGGCCGTTGACCCCGAGATCACTAAGATGCATTCGGGAGCTATTGACCCCATTTCCTCCCCCTTTCTACTCAGCACTAACCAGATTAAGCTCCTGTGAGCTCAAAACATAGAAACTCTGAGATCAGGATGAACACAAGTTAACTTTAGAAGCTCGTTGCTCCCATTCTTCCACAAACTGCAGTTTTGGCTTTCACACAGCTTATAATTCAAACTCGTGTCACATCAAAGAGCCTTAGTATTAGTCACAGGCTTCTGGATCATGATCTTAGGATTTATTGAAGGTGTAGATTGTAGAATATAGTTTTAGAAGACAGCCATTTTGTTGAAAGAATGTGGCTGGGTTACTTGCAGGTAGTCCACTATGAACTTTGAATTGGGCCACATTCCAAACATTCTGGGATGGGCCACTTTCATTTGTAAAGTAAATACTTAAGCTTCTATAGAATTGTTTAACTTGGCATAAATCAAT